ATCTCCAATCTGCAGTAGACAAGCAACAAAGCCTGATTGAAGGTCTTGCCTCTGTCACTCAGACACTGCCAGAAACCCTGGATGAAATCAGAGATGCTCAAGCCTCTGAGTTTTCCAAGATTGAACTTCTCCTTGGTGATCTTTGTGATGCCAAAAAGGGGGGAGATACCAGAGAAGGAGAAGGCACCAGCACCAGAGCTCTTTCTATCAGAGAACCCTCATCTGTGGATCCTACTCCTTACTTCGATGCTACCAGAAAGAAAAGGCTAGCTGCTTCAGGCACCAGACCCCCACCTCCTCCTCCCAGAAGCTCAAAGAAAAAGCATTCATCCTTTTCATTCACTTATTGGATGAAGAGTGGTCTGTCAAGGCCAGACAGAGTTCAGTTTGAACAGATGAGAAAATTGATGACTCCTCTTCAAAGAGAGAATCTGTTCATGGACAATGATGGACTTGTCCAGATCAACCATGGTGGTTCGATCGAAGAAGCTAAGATGTGGTACGGAATGAAGATTCTGACTGGCAAGAATTCTGCAGAAGCTGTCAGAAACTATTTGGATTGCAAACTTGCACCTCATTGGGCTGACTATCAAAATCCTAGGGATTTAGCCTCAATCAGAGCGAAGGTAAATGCTGAACTTGAAAGGATTGACAGAGCAGGACCACAGGTAGATGAAGAAGATCTCTAACTCTCTTTATCTAACTCTGTAATGCTTTACTTTCTCTAACAGTTTAATAAGATACCATCTCTGCCTCTCTGTTTGATTGGCTCTTTTCAAATATCCGTTCTTATTTACTTTCTTGTGTTTATTCTGTTATCATACTTGATTATTGCTATCTGAATGTACCGTACTCTTACTATTTTCCTATGCTAAGTTGCCCACCAAGATTCTAATGAAAAGGTTTTAACTTTATATTTTTATGGTGAAAGGCACTTCTCTGGAAATAGTTAAAGGGTTTTGGCATCATCAAAAAGGGGGAAATTGTAAGGAATAAATGTATTTAGATTTTGATGATGCTAGGTTAATTAGAATTTGGAAGTACCCCATTAGAAATTGTGTATTAGAATTTCTTTTGTAAGTTTTAGCTTAGTCTGCCTGCCAGAATTCCATCTTGCCTCTACCAGAGTTGCTCCCAGAGTTGCTCACCAGAGAAGCCATCAGAAACTGGTTATCAGAAAGATACCAGAGTTGGCACCAGAGACGGACTTCAGAGTTTGGACCAGAGAACCTCTTGAGACTCTGCTAAGTATCATCAGAATCCGGAAGCCCTTCCAACGGTCGTTAAACTAACGGGAAATCCCCTAACGGTTACGAACCTTTCAACGGAAGCATGGCACTGTACACGCATTAAATGCACATTTAATGTTGTACGTACGAAGAGATATTTAAAGCTGATGATTGACCATGCGAATATCTTTACGCCCCCAAAATAGCAAGTCGAAGGACTAAACGGTCAAGTCAACAGTACATGCATTTAATGAAGCTGTCTTCTACACTCCAACGGGAAGACCGCTCCCAGTATATAAGATACACTCTGAAGAACTAAGAAGATAACTTTGCCATAACCTTTGCCAAGATAAATTTGCGTGAATAACTTTCTTGAGATTAAAACTCCATTCTAACAAGAAAAGGCCACAGTTGGAAGATAAACATTCCTATCCTTCATCCAACTAGCAAAGGCAAAGTTACTCAGTTCTTCAACACTTCGAGAGCTTCATATACTCATCTTTTGTGAAGAAGCAACGTTGGAGAAAATTGATTCTATATCAAACACTTCTTGAAAAAGAAGGGACGTCTCAAATTAGCTGGAGTAAGTGAAGTGGAGATACTTCAAGAGACTCAGTGAAACGAGACCAGCCATCAGGAAGCAGGACTGCATCCCGGGTGGCAACTAGACTTGAAGAAGACGAGGAGTGCTTCTTAAGTTCTAGGGACTAAGGCGTTGTAAACTGTCGTTTTTGCAAGCTTAGTGGAACAGTGGACTAGAGGAACGAGTTGTTCCTTGAACCACTATAAAAACCCCGGTGTCATTTACTTTCAGCTTTTACTTTCAGCACTTAAGATTCTACTGACTAACTCTTAAGGTTGGACTCTGTGTCCAGCAGATCTTCCTTCAGAGTTATCAGAAAGGCATTTTGCCTTAGCTTTCTTCTAGAGGCTACCCGGACAGAAACTTATCCGCTGCCTGGTCTAGTTCTGCCATCAGAACTTGACCATCTCTGTCACCAGATTTCGACCATCTCTGATAAGTCAGACTTGACTTAGAGAAAAGTTTAAATTCCTGAACAGTCTATTCACCCCCCCCCCCCCCCCTCTAGACTGTTCCCATTACAAACGGGACCAACAATATCTTCTGTATATACTCCTTTCTCACCGTGTCATATCCATACATAGTATTGTTGTCTAAATCCATGGCGAATTAAATGTTCTCTGATTGTCTCTATTGACCGGAATGAATTTACGTTGGCACAATCAACACAATGACAATATAACTCATCACAACCAGTCAATGCTCTATATTCTAAACAACATTTACAAAATTCAGCCACCCCGTTCATAAATTCCAATGTGTTCCGTTTATCGTACATCCACCTTCGACTCATCTTCACAAATAAAATAGAAAAGTTTTGTAAAATCATATTGGTCAATTTGCACAAAGAGAGTCGTTTTTTATTATCATAGTGTCGACCAGTTTTTGTAATCAGTCCCGGATAGACTAGATTTATATCAAACCAGATCAATTCATACCATACAAGATCATGCTTAAACAAATATAATTACTTGAAAAAATGAAGCCTTTAATTTATAAATAGACATGGATTATCCAAACTAGGATGGCAAGGTGTACGTTCGGTTCATATATATACTGTCCCAGCCTTAGCTACTAGCTCCAACAAAAAACGAATTAATAAGTGGGGCTAATAAACATATGCAAGTAAGGAATCTACTGGTCAATATAATCTGAACAAAAAACAACTAAAGACACCATTTGTGCTATAAATAATCATAGACACCATTTCTACAATTAAATATATACTAATATTAATCTAAAAATAGATAAAATTCAATAAATTAAATTAAATGACAAAAGGTTTGAAATCAAACCTCTATTAAGAAAATATGGCGGAGGAGGAGGCTTTTTTACGTCATTGAGGAGTGCATTGAAGCGAGGCGACGGAGTGCGTCAGAGTGCGGCGGAGTGCGGCGTTGCTGTTCCGTCCGCTGCTGAGAGGGCGGGGCAGGCGGCTTGCAGGTTGAAGAGGCGGCCGGCAGGTGGAGCGCAATTCCCCGTCGCTACTGGAGTGCAAGGTTTGGAGCTCCACTTTGCTGCTGGAACGCGGGTTAACCGCCAAGGCCAGGAACGAACCGGAAGGAGGCTGCGCAAGATTTTTTTAGAAGTGCATCGGCCAAAGCCAGGAACGAACGTAGGGTTAGGTTATCAACTTTTTTAAAACTTATTGTTGCGTTTCCCAGTTGCCCGCAGCAAAAAGGTTAAAAATTAATTTTTAAATACATGTTGCTGCGGTTTAATCGTTCACGCAGCAAATAAGGAGTGATTTTCTGTGTAATTGTTGCGGAAGACATAGAACCGCAGCAAATAAGGAGTTATTTACCAAATAATTGTTGCGGAAGACGTATAACCGCAGCAAATGGAGAGCCGCAAATGACAAAAATTCTAGTAGTGGTTGGATTTTCGGGTCTTGATATGACATCATAGTCAAGCCCTGTTGTTTTAAGAGGTTATCTACCCCATTTGTACACTTCATGTTTTGTGTTCAATGTGAGCTTATGGGGCATAGTGAATATTTCTCTCAAATTTATATAAAATATTACCTCTATCTCGTTTAAATGTTCACACTATAAAATAACACGATTATTTAGATAATAATTAAATAAGATAATTTGAGTATATTTTTAGAGATAATTTTGATGGCTATATAATATAATGGGGTCATCGGTGATAACGGTGAGTCTGTGATGTTATAGATGTAATATTTATAATATTTGATTATTAAAATATCATTTAGGAGTATTAATTGTTTACTAAAATAGAAATGAGAACTTTTTATATAAGACATCTAAAAAAAGAAATTGTGAACCTTAGTGGGTGTCCCCAACTATGTCGTTGATGGATTTTAAAAGGTTGTGGAATTTAAAATCCGGTGAAATGTTTTGAATGTAAAACCCATCAAAATCAATTAAAATTCATCCAAATAAGTAATACGAGTAATAGACATACACGAAATGTTTGGGGAACACCATTATGTTTCATAGATTCCACATAAATCAAAATAAGAACATTTAAATTGAAATTCTAAACTCCATTAAAATCATGTAGATTGTATATAGGGAACACCTCTCACAATGAGAAGGATGGAGTAATAAAATAACTATATAAAATCCGAAATCAATAGTTTTACTACTTGTACGCACTACCTTATAAACCTTTGTGAGAAAACTATTTTTTGTGTATGAATCACATGAGCCACAAAAGAATGTTTTGTGCATGTTTGTACTTTGTTCATATTCTTATCTGTTCAAAATACAAAGTACTCTCTCCGATCCATAATTAATTTTACACTTTCATTTTTGGGACGTCCCATATTAAACTTTGCACTTCTTTATTCACCTTATCTGGTAAACAAATCTACGGCAAACAATGTCAAACAGTACCAAACAGTGTCAAACAGTGTACTCTACAGTAAAGTCAAATTTATTTCCTTAATATGTGTGAAGTCAAAGTGTAAACTTCATTAAGGACCGGAGGGAGTATTAAATACTACCCGTGTCCCTTAGAACCTTGCAAAAGTTGATCGGCCTTTACAACAGAGAATAATAAAGTAAAAACTGTGTGGTGAGTTTTGTGCAAATGAAAGGGAAATAACAGAAAACACGAAATAATTGATTAAAATGGAAAGTCACAAAGTTTTAAAGGATAGGAGGCAGTGGTTCACAAACAATCTCAGTAATTCACAACTAACTGCACTAGCTCGAAAGTAATTCTCTGGCATTTGTACCGACGGTCTATTAATTGTCTGGTATAACATGTTTATAAATACAATTGCAGACTGTTCTTTATGAAGCTCATCGGATTTCTGGCATTTTTACGCAAAGGGCATCGCGATGGAGGACGCAGGCGTGTTAATGATGTGTCCCGTCTCGTCCTATCTCGAAGCTCAGATTGACGAGCGCTTGAAGCTCTTCAGACTCTGGGACGCTTCTCCTTCCATGTCCGATTTCCTGAAGCTCAATGCCCGTTCAATTCGAGCCGTCGTCGGAAGCGCATCGCACGGGGCTGACTCGGGGCTCATCGACTCGCTTCCCAACCTTGAAATCGTCTCCACCTGCAGTGTAGGTTACGATAAAATTGACCTGGCTAAGTGCAGAGAGAGGGGAATTCGAGTCACCAACACTCCCAATGTGCTCACAGACGAGGTCGCCGATGCAGCAATAGCGCTGGTCTTGGCGACCTTGAGGAGAATCTGCGCTGCTGATGGCTTCGTCAGAATGGGTCTGTGGAGGAGTTGCAATTTTGAGCTGGCCACCAAGGTATATCAAACTCATTCGGCATCATATATTAATGTTATCCAGGAAAATTTTGGTTTTTATGCTGAAAAGTGGTGCTACTATAGTGATGATGCTCGTAGGTTTAAATGCCCAGTCTTGGGGATGAAATGAAAGCTGAATCTAAAATTTTGGCAAGTGATTCTCGCTCATTGCCTAGTGTATGTGCATCTTACAAGTTAAGAGTCGTATATATTAACTAGAACAATGTACCAATACAGCAGTACGGATATGATGCTATCAATAAAACTAATATTAAGAATTAATACTAATATTAAAGAGGATTTATGAGCTTGTTTGGTTCCCCAACCCTTTAACAAACCTGTATCACATTGGCAGTCCGTAACTCCAGTTGGCTATTTGCTTCTGCTGCATCCCCTCTTCAGTCCTCTAATTTTTTTATTGTTCCAGTTCAGTGGTAAATCAGTTGGGATAATAGGGTTAGGCAGAATAGGTTCAGCAATAGCAAAGAGAGCTGAAGCATTTGGCTGCAGAATCAGCTACACCTCCAGACTGAAGAAACCCCATATCAATTACACATTCCACTCAAGTGCTGTTGGTTTGGCTGCTGATTCTCAAATCCTAATTGTTGCTTGTTCGTTAACAGAAGAAACACGACACATTGTAGATCGTAGGGTCATTGATGCTTTAGGTCCAAATGGTGTTCTAATCAACATAGGACGAGGTGCCCATCTGGATGAACCTGAACTTGTGTCTGCTTTGCTTGAAGGGCGATTAGGTGGGGCAGGGCTTGACGTTTACGAGAATGAGCCTGATGTGCCCGGTGTGCTTTTCAGTCTGCAAAATGTTGTTCTTCTGCCTCATGTTCCAAGCGACACCATTGAAACTTCCCGGTCCATGGCTGATCTTGTTGTTTCAAATTTGGAGGCTCATTTTCTTAACAAACCTTTACTATCTCCTGTGATTTGAATGGTCTATGAAAAGTTTCTTGGGGTTTCAGCTGACCTTTCTTCCTATTTCTCTAGGTGCTAGTCACCATTTTCCTTTCTTTGAGAAGTATCGATTTTTATGAAGTCTCAAAATTGTGATAATTTGTTCTGTTTATCTTGAACTAAGGTTTCCATATTGTAACACTTAAATATCATGATATTCAGAACCCTTTGTTTCAATGAATGTGCTCATATGTTACTTTTATTACCCGGTAAATGGCATGTATTATAAATCCCCTTGTAAGATGTTAATAGTCTATTTTTACAAGGCATTTTTGTTGTCTATGTAGCGTGTATTGTTCTTTTTATAATAATATCTGCCTCAGATTAATATCGCTGTTTAGGTCTCTTGACCTATTTAAGAGTAAGAGTCTTTAGTAATTTCCTTGGTTTGTGCAATCGATCCGATTGCATGTATAATTTGGAAAATAACTTGTGGCTTGAGATGTGTTGTCATTTCACCTGTTCTACAAATTCCATTTGTGCTGAGTTTGAAAAATCGAAAATAAAATCAAAATAAATTGAATCGCAGTTATGACGGTTGAGAACTTTTTCAATCGATTTTTTTAACAAATCAATTAAACGCTGGAAAAGAATTGAAGAGATTTTCTGACGGCTCTACCGGGGCTAGCGGTGGTTTCCAGTGGTCGAATACAGTTATCCCGGGAGGCAAGGGTTGAGGCAAGGGTCGAATACTACTTCTGTCCCAAAACTAGTGTTGGATTCGGTTCGGGCCACCCGGCCCGTGACCCAGCCCGGCCCGCTACTGTGCGGGCCCGGGACCGGCCCGGTCGGGCGGTCCGGGACCGGGTGTAGACCTGAACCGGCGGGATGGGGCGGGGCGGGTACGGTTCCTGAAAAAGTTGACCCGGCCCGGCCGGGTTGGGCCTGGGCCCGGGTCCGGGTCCAACGGTCCAATTTAAAAAAAAAATTGTTGGGCCCCAAACTAGCCGTTATGGCCTTGGGGGGTGGGGTGGGGACAACCCAAACGGCTATATAGCCGTTGGGTGGGGTGCAGGGGGGTCCGGGGGTGGGGGGTGGGGGGTAAAAAAACCTATAAATACTCCTAATCTTAAACATTTTTTCATCTCTTCTCCAATTCTTCCTAAATCCTATTCTTAACTTTCTACTCTCTAATTCTCTTATTCTCCAATATATTATATTTATTATTTATATATCTACTTTATAGTTTATACTTAAGATGGAAAATCAAGATGCCATTATACGGTATAATTTTGATAAGCAGAAGGACCCGAAGACCGGGTTGTGGTACGCAACTTTCAAATGGTGCGGGAAAAAATGTAGCATGGGGGTTTCAGGCGGATACGGGATGACAATGAAGCATATGAAGTCATGTGACAAAGCCAAAGGATCGGGAGGTGCGGGAAGTTCCGATTGATTACAATTTTCAAAATGTTTGTCTCTTAAAGTTTGTTTTAATTTTCAAATGTAGTTCCTATTTCACTTCAAATAAATGCACTTGAAGTTTGTTTTTAATACTTGTATAAAACTATAAACTATAAAATATAAATTATAAAAAAAACTCTAACCGGCCCGAACCGGACCCGACCCGTGACCCGGGCGGGTGGCCCGGCCCGAACCGGACCCGTCCAACCCTCGGGCCGGTCCCGAGCCCATGTCATACAAACCGGCGGCCCGAGTCCATTACTACCCAAAACAATATCTCACTTTCTTTATATGGATGTCCTAACATAAACTTCACATTTCAAAATGTATCCTTACTTTTTAGTTACTTTTTACTTGATTTAACATAAAGTAAAGATATCAAGTCAAAACCTACACCATAACTTTCCACTAAAATGTGTCAAGTCAAAATGGTAAGTTATTTCTAGAACCAAGAGAGTATATACTCCTTCCGTCCCTAATTGAATTGCAAACTTTGATCAGCACAAGGATTAAGAAATGATAATAAATGATGTTTTCTTTTTACACTTTTGCTCATCTTTCTAAAAGTAGATGCTTTTAAGTTAATGGGAAAGAGTAAAAGTAAGGGTAAATTTGTCACTTTATTCTTATTTACGTACCTAAAATAGAAAGTGGAAAACCATTTTGGGACAACCAAAAAAGGAAATTTTGCAAATCAAATTGGGACAGAGGGAGTATTAATTAAACAAAAGTTAGTCGTAGTTTTTGAAAATTTGAAAACAGATTATATTTTTATGGCTAAAGGGTCAAATATACTCCTTTACCCGTCCGAAATGCTCAATTTGTCACCTGAACTCTAAAAAGCCCCAATTCACCCTTGAACTCGACAAAAAAGTTCAAATCTCATTTTTTGCATGTAGAAGTCTAGTCAGCGCCATGTCACCCGATCAGATGCAAACTGTGCATCCCATATGACAATTTAAGAGGTCAAATAGCCCCTAAACCCAATAGAGCTGTTCAATTACCCCTCAACCGTTAAAACGCTTCAAAATTGCTATAAAAAATAAGAGATTAAAAAATAGAAAATAAAAACATAAAATAGTATACAAGTTTATAATATAAAATATAGACGTCAATTTATAATATAATAAGAAGATATTTATATTTTGCAGTAAATTAAATTTATAAAAAAATAACGAAAATAAATTATTTTTATATACATAATATAAAAATGTAATAACTATTTTCGTATTATACTTTTTATAATATATATATATATATATATATATATATATTATGGTGTAAATAATTAGTATGAAGTATAGTATATAATTCTAGAATAAAATAATACGAAGTATGTATACATATATGCATGAGTGTGTGAGTTTCTATGTGTGTGTAATTATGCATATAAATCTAAAACATATTAAAGGTATTAAAAAATATCAAATGAAAAATACAACTCTTAATATAAGCATAACATAAATTTTAAAATACGAATACTAAAATATGTTTTATAATACCAATAGATACATATAATACAAAAAATAAAAATTTAATTTTAATTTTTAAACATACGTATTGTTTACTTTAAAAAATAGATTTAAGATATCAAAATAGTTTTAACGAGTTTCTTTTAGTTTATTTTTTACGAATTTACTGTGAGTATAAATATATCCTTTTTATATTATTTAATTAATAGATGTCTATATTTTATACTTTTGACTTGTATCTAATTTTATATTTGTATTTTCTTTCTTTTTTTATTTTTTTTGCATTCCTTACACTTTTGAACGGTTGATGAGGCAAATTGAACAACTCTTTCAGGTTCAGAGGTCTATTTGACCCCTTAAATTGCCACGTGGGATGCACGGCTGGCATCTAACTAGGTGACGTGGCAGTGATCTGACTTACTTGCGGAAAACGATATTTGATTTTTTTTGTCAAGTTCAGAGGGTAAAATTGGAGCTTTTAGAGTTCAGGGAGGTGTATTGAACATTTCATACGGGTACAGAGGCCTATTTGACCATTTATCGTATTTTTATCTTCTAAAGGTGTAGAGGTAATATTGTTATCATTTTTTTTTGTTTTATCTGAAATATATGTATATATACTCTAGAAAATTGTTGTTAGTAAGACTAAATCATATAAACTTTACAAGATTAGGACTTAGTTAGGTTTTTTCCACCAGTATGTTTTATTTAGTTCTGTTTTAGGAAACTTAATTTTTAGTTTCCATTTTTGCCCTCCACTTAAGGCTACGTATCAAGACGAATGACTTGGGCAACGGCTGGTCTCATCCGCAGCGACCTTTTCTTCTTCTTTCGCTCTTCGCCTGCGTAATCAACCGAGCTCAAGATCATCGTCCTTTCATTCATTTGTGCTCACTTCTCCAGTTTTGATCATGCTCGTATGGTTAACGAATTGTTTTAAAGCGGCATTCAGTTGTTCATCGAGCTTCATACGATGTGCAAAATTTCTGCACTTTTCAGTAAGTTTTATTACTCATTTGTCTTACAAATTTGTTATTGTTTGATGATTTCTTGTATAAACGAATTTCGTTTATATATTTTGTATAAGTTCTTTCATCTTCAAGTTTGAATTCTCATTCTAACCTTGAAATTGCAGTTCAATGTATTTTTCTTCTCTGTTTTTTAGCTTCAAACATCGATTTCTATTTTTTCTACTTCATATAATTCTTTGATTGTCTTACGGTGAACTAGATACAACCGGTTGTAGTCTAAGAACTTTCTGAAATGGAGGGTTCAACTTATGCAAATAAAGTACTCGACAAAAGTCCTCAGTCAAAAACCAGTGCAACCGCCCAAAAAATTGGGTCGGTCTATTACAAAACCACACGGATACTAAAAATTAAGTTTCATATATGCATATGCACCTCCTATGGTTGTTTGTGATCCTTGTAGCTTGGAATTGTACTTTGGTTCTGAAAAGGGTTCACCCTGAGGTTCCTGACTATGCTATGTTTACTTCGTGGGTTGAGTTGTTTACTGTGATAGTCCCAGATCTTAACATACAACAATCATAACAGGTATAAAGAAGCAGAGAGAAAGATATCGAGAAGATTAAAACCAAATCTGGTATACCGTATAAAACCCCGCTGCTCTCCCGGAGAAGGAGAGCAGCGGAAACCCTACTCTGTCTATCTCGCCTCTGCGTACTCTCAGCCTCTGTCGATTGTTAGGGTTCCCGTAAGTTAGCTTCCTTTTATAGGAGAAGTTAGCTAACTTACGAGTTACAAGGAAGCCCTCGGGCTGATACACATTTGTGGCCCGTATTACACGTTTAATTAATAACTACACAAATACAAAGATATTTAATTAGATTGGACACCATAAAATATTCCTAACAATCTCCCCCTTGGTGTTCAATCGTGTTGAATCAGCATTGCAGCGCAGATATCTTTGTCTTTGTTGTTATTCAGCTTCCTTTGTCTTTGAACTTGACTTCTGAGGAAGGCTATCTGAAGAAATCCTTGCAATCTCCCCTTTGATGTCTTCTTGACAATTTGATCTTTGATTCCGGGAGTTGAGGGACCTTCAGTATCTTGCATGTAGTCCTTGCCTTCCAGAAGTTGCTCTTGATCAGCTTGGATGAAGTCCGGTGACGCCTCTAGAATGAATATTCTTTGGAGGATAGGAGATGCCCATGGACTTCATCTTCAGGACACAAGTATTTGACCTCTGTCTCCTCCACAATGTAGTCTTTTTGACTATTTGGAATGAATGCATTTGACGAGAACTTGTCGGTGGCACAGCGGAACATAATGATTGTTGATTTGTGAGTGTAGCTGACCATTTGATTTGAGTTGTAGAGATAGCAGAGAAGGTATTGATTTTTGTGATGGAGGAGTGAAGTGTCCCAGAATGATTTGTTCAGTGTTAACAG